AGCGACATTCCATACGATTATATATTTCACTGAACGTTTCACTTGGGGAAGAGGATGATCCAGCATTAGACTCCATTTTTTATCTGCCACAATCAAATCATTTTGTCACAATACTTCAAAAGATTTTTCTTTTGCGATTCTACTTGAAAAGATATTTGCACATACCATCAAACGACATTGTGAGGAACAACAAATAGATTAGTACTGTCATCTTCGTATTTATTGCATAGTGTGTGAAGCCATTCTCCAATAGAGTGGTTTGTTCATAGAAATCTTGAGGGTAATTTTTCTTGCAATATTGTATCCTAACTAACCTTTATTTCTATGTTGTGTACACACATGGCCGTTGTCCGAATAAGTAGATTGGTTTTTTTCAAGGGTGACTTAAGGCGGGGGTGTCCATGACTGCATGAGACTAAATGCCTACCAAGATGCATTTTACAATTTTCGGCGCCATCCATCTTTGTAAACCATAGATACTCAATTTCCCTAAAAGGAAGAAGATTGCATCCTATATGTTTTGAAAAAACATAATGCAGATAATAATTCAGGGAAAAAAATTCAATGGTATATAATATGCACGGAAAGAAATAGAAGGTGTGTATGCTCATCAAGTGCAAACAATTAAATTCAGAGATGAGCGTTTGCTTACCGATGCAAGAAGCAAGAGATCTATGAAGCAAAATGTCCGTCACGTGCGATCCGGGAGTGCAATCTGGGATAGTGCAGAAGGAGGATGACACAAATGCTGATAGAATCGACATGAACACCATGGTCTATCTTAATTTTTCCAAAGATATATGTTGCATTGGTAACAAATATACTCATGCCCACACATCATTTAACTAATTGAACTGTCCAAAAAATGAATCGATAACCTTACCCCTTGCCTCTTTTCGATCAGTTCATCTAGTACCTAGAGGGAGTGTTTCGGGTATAATAATATGAGGAACCAAGAGAGTTTATTTGGATGAACAATCGATCTGTATGTAGAAGAACTATAGCAAGTACCATTAAATTTGAAAGCCTAATTTTCCATAATCAACAGAATTTATTTGGATGAGCAATCGATCTGTAACTAAAAGAACTATAGCAAGTACCATGGAATTTGAAAGCCTGATTTTTCATATTAGCATTTTACCATTGTTGCACATGACAAAGTGAGAGTAAAGCACAAATCAGGAAAAAAAATGCAAAGGGGCATGTGAAGTAATGAAACAATTCCCAGCAGTAAGAGATGGTTGAAGCATAACATGGAGTCGAGCACGTTTGTCCTGAAGCGCAACCTGAGAAGATTCAAAGCCATAAGCTTCAGGGTGGAAAAATCATATACTTCTGGAAATAGGGAGTGTGCATCTACCTGGCCGGAGGCCTCTTCCCAGATGGGACGCGAGAAGGCGTGTGTGATGGATGACGATGGTACCACATAGGGTATTTAAACCCATTTTATTCCGCATTTGCAGGGTAACGGAAAGTGAGGTAATGAATAGGGATGGCAGACGTCGTGGAGGCGGAAGGCTAGTGGTGGATATGGTGCGGCAAGTGCGGCAAGATGACGACGGTACCACATAGGGTATTTAAACCCATTTTAAACCCATTTTATTCCGCATTCCGCATTTTGTGTGAATGAATTATGTGGTGCGGCAGGCCGTTTCATGTGCATTCGTGGCTGGGATGGCAGACGTCGTGGAGGCGGAAGGCTAGTGGTGGATACAGAGCGGTAGCGGGAAGAGAATTAATTCACGAGAGATCATCGGTCGTGGTGGCGGCAGCATGCAGAGGAGCGTCGTTTGCGGCGACGGCGGCAGGCCGAGGAGCATCGGTCGCGGTGGCTGGCCGAGAGAGCATCGGGTGTGGCAGTGGCTGACTTGGTGAGGGAGCGACCAGCGTGACGGCGGTTGGCCAAGGGATAGGCCGGGCCGGAGGCCTCTTCCCAGATGGGACGCGAGAAGGCGTGTGTGATGGATGACGATGGTACCACATAGGGTATTTAAACCCATTTTATTCCGCATTTGCAGGGTAACGGAAAGTGAGGTAATGAATAGGGATGGCAGACGTCGTGGAGGCGGAAGGCTAGTGGTGGATATGGTGCGGCAAGTGCGGTAAGATGACGACGGTACCACATAGGGGATTTAAACCCATTTTAAACCCATTTTATTCCGCATTCCGCATTTTGTGTGAATGAATTATGTGGTGCGGCAGGCCGTTTCATGTGCATTCGTGGCTGGGATGGCAGACGTCGTGGAGGCGGAAGGCTAGTGGTGGATACAGAGCGGTAGCGGGAAGAGAATTAATGCACGGAAGATCATCGGTCGTGGTGGCGGCAGCATGCAGAGGAGCGTCGTTTGCGGCGACGGCGGCAGGCCGAGGAGCATCGGTCGCGGTGGCTGGCCGAGAGAGCATCGGGTGTGGCAGTGGCTGACCTGGTGAGGGAGCGACCAGCGTGACGGCGGTTGGCCAAGGGATAGGCCGGGCAGAGTAGGAGCAGCGCCGGCGGCTGGCCGTGGGACTGGGCAAGGAACGGCCGTCATGGCGGCGGCTGGATGGGGAAAATAGGTTGCGCACGATGGGAGGATAAGGTTTTTTGACGTGATCGTGGGGAGGATACATCATGGGCTACTGAATTGTTCTCCATGGGCTTACATATCCATATCCCAACCAACAACCAAAAGCCCAGCTCTATAGCCCACGTACGGATATTTAACTGATGGCCGATGCGACAGAAGAATGGATGGCGCCGGGGGAAGGAACGAATCGTTATTTTCCATCCACTTAGCGGTGGCAAGCATCAGTAAATATCATCAACTCCTGATCAGACGGCTATAGGCTGATGAGCTATACTGTATCAACGGCCATAATAATTCAGATGACGTGGCTTCATGTGGATGCTGGAAAATCAGCTAGTGGGGTGCCTCTATTTAGATATAGAAGATTACCCATGTCATCATACAAGTGTTCTTAAACTAGGTTAAAATCTTGAGGGTGTCTACTTATCAGCTAACTTATTTTAATTTGGACATCAGACATTCTTTCATCCACACAAAATGGGACATGTATAACTTCTTAGTTTCCCCACAAAAGACAAACCCACGTTAGGCCCGCCTGCATCTCACTTATAACGAGACGTAGGGCAGCCTCGTGTGAAGAGGAGTCGTAGTGGCCCGGCCCAGCGCAGCAGCAGCGCTTCGCCGTAGCCGGCATGCGCGACCACGCCATGGGCTCACCACGCCATGATGTCATGCTAAAATATTTTTCTTCTTCTTTTGTGCTGTTCTATTTAATTTATATTTATCTATTTTGAAAATTTAAATTTAACCAAGAAAAATCCGACCATGAATTTACAAAAAAATACCAAAGTATAAACGTTTTTAGCGCAATTAAAAAAATGTTAATGGGTGTTCAAAAAAAGTGTTCCTACATTTCAAAAAATGTATGTGAAAATTTGAAAAAAAAATTAAGCAATGAAAAAAAGGTCTTTGTTAAATGTTTCGTACCATTAAAAAATATAGGACATTTTAAAAAAAGTCCTCACATTTCAAACATAATGTTTGTAACATTAAAAAATGGTTATACAATGTATAAAATGCTCGTGTATTGTTTTTTAAAAATATAACCATAAAAATAATTTTAAATGTGTATTTGGAAACATATTCACCATGTATGATAAAAAGTGTTCAAAACATGTACTAAAAATGAAAGTTCACAGATTTCAGAAAAAGTTCACGAAGTCAAGAAATGTTTCAGAACTTGAAAAACTTTGTGAATATGAAAAAAAAATTGTGGCTTCAAAAATGTTCACGAAATTGAAAAAGTTCGTGAGCTTGAAAAAAGTTCATGAATTCCAATGAAAAGTTCATGAATTGAGCGAAGTTCATTAACTTGATTTTTTTCATGATTTTGAAAAAGTTGGAGTTGAGAAAAAGTTCGCAAATTAGAAAAATGTTTGTGATTTAAGATAAAGAAGAGAAAAAGGAAAGAAAAGGGAAAAAATAAAAGGAGAAGGAAAATAAAAAAAACTAAAATAAAAACCAGCCGAACAATAAAAAATAGAAAAGTAAAGCCAGATGGAGAGGCATATAGAAGGTTCCTAATAAAATATTAACTCCGTTCGAAAATGTTTGTCTTAGATTTTTCTAGACACGGATACATCTAACACTAAAATATGTCTAGATACATTCATATCTAAATAAATTTAAGACAAATTTTTTCGGACGAAGGGAGTAGAAAATGCAAACCGCACTCACAAAAACATGGCGCTCTGTGTCGATGAGAAGAAAAAAAACGTTAATCGGCCGAGTTTACGAGCGAGGCTCCGTCTGCCTAATTTTGACAGATTGTTAATGAGCCGTTCTACTACTAATGGGTTTTGTTTAAAGTGGGCATTTCCCTCTTTTGTTGTCAGTCGTGGTGTTTATTTGTGGATTCCACGCTGCTCGCTCAGCAGAATTGTTCTTTTTTTGGGGAATTTCTATTACCTACCCAGTTCATGCCCCAAGTACGTTCTGCTCAAATTTTACTCCATCTAGTAATTATTTAAACTGCAAGAAAGAGGAAAAGGCTCACGAAAAATGGAGGTGACACATGCCATCTTCAATTTTCCACGCGATCCTAACAAAAATGCAAATCACTAAGTCTGTGTAGAACATGTTGATGTTGTTTGGCTCATAATGACTTTCACTCCACCACCTACTTTTGATTGGGACTGAGAAGAATCATGATCATTAATATTGTCTTTTAGTAAAGATAGTTCTGTGCACTCCCTGAGGCAGAGGTCGTGGGTGTGGCCGTTTAATTAGTAGAAAAAAAGACTTGCAGTACATGTCTAAATGTGTTTTATATGTTGCTCTACTTCTCCACAGACATGATTTATTTTCCTATTTTTTCTCCAACACCATTACATATATTTTCTGTGTCTCAGCGTGCTATGAATAAAGCAAAGTTAACCAGACAAATCAATGCTATGGTATGAATTGAATTGTGCTTGTCCGTGCAGGAAGTTTTTAGCCCACTTCCTCTGAGATGTTGTTGAGAGGATACATATGAATAGAATCAGCCCATGGCGTGCCAACAGTGGTGTTGCTGTCCGGCCTCATGCACTGCCACACGGCGCTGTTGCACTTGAACCCAGAGCCGAACCCGATCATCCACACCCGGCCGCCCTTCCGCATCCGCCTCTTGGCCTCGATGTATGCAAGTTCATACCACAATGAACTGCTAGATGTGTTCCCGAACCGGTGAAGCGTCATCCGTGATGCCTCAACATCCCTGTCTGATAAGCTTAAGCTATTTTGCACCGCGTCGATCACTGCCCGACCACCGGAATGGATGCAGAAGTGTTGGAAGGCCGTCCGGAAATCCGGGATATATAGCTTGATCTTGCTTCTCAGCACCTCCCGTGCAATGAATGAGATCGCAAAGAGAATCTTCTCCGAGGGCGGGAGGACAAGGGCCCCCATTGCCGCGATGTTGGCCTTGAGAGCTTCGCCGGCAACTGACACAAGGTCCTTGGATAGGTATGCTCCCATTTCTCCCTCATCGTCCTCTTTCATGGAAATGCACAAGTATGCTATGTCTTGTGCGGCGGTGAGCGTTCGCACGATGTGCATGAGCCGGAAGCGGGCCAAGGACTTGGATGTCGACAGCAGCACCGCGGCCGCGCCCATGCGGAACAGGGCATACGGCAACAGCATCCCCCGGTTCTTGCCGGTGTAGTTGACGATACATGTGCCCTCCGTGGACACCATGAGGGCGCGCGCGCCCCGCGGTGCCGCCTGCAGGAGGTTTCTCACGACCTCTAGGGAAATCACCCCTGCGCTGCACCCCATCCCGGATATGTGCACGCTTCGGATGTCGGTTCTGAGCTTGTACTTGTTCACGACGATGTCAGCCAAGCTCGGGGTCGGGTTGAATCCACTGCAGTTGGTGACGAGTATGTCGATAGTTCCAGGACTTATGCCAGTCCTGGCGAGCAAGTCGTCGACAGCTGAAAAGATGACCTGCTCCGCCTCGTCACGACCATCGCTTAAGCAACATCGTGGGGGGATATAGTGGAATGAAGGATGGAGGTAGGTCTGGTCACCGAGGCCCGAGCGCTTGAGCATGCGGGTCATGAAGTCGACACCTCCATCATCGAGGTAAGGCGAGAAGCGAACGTTCTCGATGGAGGAGCCTATGGAGACGCGACAATTGGATTTTGGCCGGCAGCAAGCATAGTCGATGAGGTACACGCTACGAGGGCGACTCATCAGGTAGAGGGTGGCCAAAGCGAACGGTAGGAAGATGGCCAGCAGAACGTGGACCTGCCGCAAACCATGGAGCCGGGAGAGGATCTCCTCGGGACCGAGCTGTGCGGCTTTACGGAGGACCACGATGACTGTCACCGGTGCGGCGACGAACACAAGGAAGTTGTTTACGACGAGCTGGAACAATGGTTTGAGGTGTTTGTTGAGATGGGGTGGTGAGGCCATGTTGCATGCTGTAGATTCGTACATGACGAAGGTGTCCCAACTTAGGAGATTTTATAAAGGGCCGGACCGCCTCGTTGGTGAGTGTCATATCCTGCCATCTTCTTGACTCATGGTTTCGAGGATACAAACTTGACTTATTTGCTAATTCTCATGTTTCGAGACATACAAAACACATGATAAATGTGTCTTGGATGAGCTGTTGGGAGATAATTCCTCTCTCCTAACAAACCACGTTATTGTTCGTTAATTTGTTGTTGGTTGGTGGCAATATGAGTGAGAGTGATTGATACACTATGATGCATTTCTTCGTCATGGGAAAGGAGGGAGAGTTTTTATGCGCTTTGGTGGAAAGACAAGAGAGTCTTTTTCAAGTACTGTTAGATCGGTGATGGCGCGGAAACAATACGACCGCCCATTTGACAAGCATAATCTAAACATTGGACAAAATTGGAGCTATATACAAAATTGAATATGAGGATTATACTCCCTAGGTGTGTACATATTCAATATTACGTATACTCTTGCAAGAGTCAGTACGTAAAAAGTATGTGCGCGTCCGCGCATTTATAAAAGCTGGAAAATTAGAGCATGTGTGCACCGATTCATACTATCACGAACTCAGTTATCCATGAGCACCAACAATTTGGACTTTGTCGAGTTCCGAATGTTCATCGCTTTTGGTCGGCCACACATACCTAGCCAAGGGGAGATTAATTCTATCGCTCTGCCGCAAGCCTTGCTTCCACGACATGCAAGTTTTCTTGAAAGGATCTGCAGTCCCCATGTTGATTCATTATTCCTATATTGTTTTTGTCAATGAATTTGGGTTTGTAACATCAAAACAACATTCTTTCATGGATAATAAAGTTATTAATATTACGGTCATATGTATTTTTATTTTTAAATATGGAAACTGCCTGCTTCGGTACACCCCCCTCCCCCTCCACAAACCGTATCAAGACAGTACAGTCATTTCATCAAACCGTATGAGTATAGGATATGTGACATGTATGAGGCATCGATCCTACTTTTTATTAAACTTGAGAAAATAACGCATGCGATGTGAATCAAACTCAAGACCTCTTGGTCTAAGGACCAACACTCTAACCATCTAGAACACCCTAAGGCTTGTGCCTATTCTATGGTTCGCGGCTGGGCTAGCCCATTGTGTTGAACCAACCCGTTTATCACTATTTCTTTTACGTTTTTTCTATTTGTTTTTTTTCTTTTTCGTTTTTTTTTATTTTTCAAGAAATGCTCACACATATAAAAAAATCTCAAAGTTCCAAAAATGTTCGATTTTTAAAATTCTGTTCATAAAGTACAAATATTTGAATTTTAAAAAATGTACATATATGTCAAAAATTATTCGTTTAAATACAAAAATTCTGACATCAATATAATCAAATTTCTGAACATATATTATATAGAAAACTTGTTCGTTCATTATTTAATTAAACAAAAACCTTTGTTTATTGTCCGTTTAAATAGAAACATGTTCAGATAAAAAAATCGAATACTTCTAAAATTTCTGAACATCTATTAAATAGAAAAATAATAATTAAAATATACCAATCAGCGACCGGTTTATTGTTCAATTTCAGAATCTTTTTCATTTTTGTTGTTTTTCATTTTTCATATTTTGTTCTCTTTAAAAAAATGCTCGCATCAATATAATTCACCCAAAATTTTCCACACACTAGCATCACTATGACAAGCATCCATGATAATAAAGTCATTGATTTCTTACATTTTATACATTTTCTAGGGTTTTTCGGTGAAAAAACCGAAAAACACTAGCCGAACATCACGCAACGTACGTTTAGCGTCCGAATTATTCCAAATTTTGCATGGAGGCCTGCCATAATTATGGCCACATGCTGGAAAAATTTGGTGCCATTTCATGCATGCCAAGAAGCACACCATTTTCAAAGGTGGTGGTTCGGGTAGACCTGTACGGCAAGTCCGGATGCACTTTTTTCACATGAATAAAATGGTGCGAATTTTTTCCACACACTAGCATGACCATTCCAAGCATCCATGATAAATTTTATTGAGTTCTAACATTTTATACATTTTCTATAGTTTTCCATGTGAAAAACCCCTAAAACACTAGCCGAACGTGACGCAACTTGCGATAGGTGTCTGAATTCCTTAAAGTTTTCCATGGAGGTCTACCATGAGAATGACCACATGCTGACAAAATGTGATGTCATTTCATGCATGGCACGAAGCACACCATGTTCAGAGGTGGTGGTTCGGGTAGGCCGATAGGACATGTCTGGATGCACATTTTTTTCATAACAATAAAATAGACCCAAAAATTTTCCTCGCACTAGCATCACCATGCCTAGCATACATGATAAGTTCCATAGAGTTATGATATTTTACGCATTTCCTAGGGTTTTCCCCGTGAAAAAAAACCTAAAACACTAGACGAACATGTTCGGTGTCCGAATTCCTTCAAAATTTTCACGGAGGTCTGCCATGAGCATGCCCACATGCTGACAAAACTTGATGTCATTTCATGCATGGCAAGAAGCACACCTGTTCAGAGGTGGTGGTTCGGGTAGGCTGGTAGGGTAAGTCTAGATGCGCTTTTTTCACAACAATAAAATAGACCCAATTTTTTTCCTCGCATTAGCATCACCATTCCTAGCATACATGATAAGTTTCATTGAGGTCTAACATTTTATGAATTTTCTAGGATTTTCCCGGTGAAAAAACCTAAAAACAAAAGCCGAAGGTGACGCAACATGTGTTCGGTGTCCGAATTCCTTCAAATTTAGCATGGAGGCCTTCCATGAGCATGCCCACATGCTGGCAAAATTTAGTGTCATTTCATGCATGGCAGCTATCACACCATGTTCAAAGGTGATGGTTCGGGTAGTCCAGTAGGGCAAGTCTGTATGCAATTTTTTTCATATCAAAATGGACCCAAATTTTTCCCACACACTAGCCTCGCCATGCAAAGCATCCATCATAAATTTCATTGAGTTATGGTATTTTATGCATCTTCTAGAATTTTCCCGATGAGAAAACCCAAAAACACTAGCCAAACGCGACGCAACGTGTGTTTGGTGTCCGAATTCTTTCAGATTTTTCATGAAGGCCTTGCATGAGCATGCCCACATGTTGGTAAATCTTGATGTCAGCATGTCAAGAAGCACATCATGTTCAAAGGTGGGGGTTCAAGTGTGCCCGTGGGGCAAGGCTTTTCTTATTTGTAATTTCTGTCAATATCAATCAACATGAACATCTTTTTATATCTGAATTATTTCTTAAAATTTGTCAACAATTTTGTAATTTTAAATTCTGTGTGAAAATTTGTCAACAATTTTGCAAGCATTAGAGGTCTTGAGTTCAAGTCATGTACATATGCACGTATGGGTTAGTTGCATGGTCAATGAAATAGTGGGGCCATTATTTATATACATGGAAACAATGATTATGATTGATTTGGAAAGAGATACAGCGTGTCGGAAGCTGCTTATGGCTGCGCCAAGCGAATCGCGCGTCGCCACGGTCGGTCGTGAAAGAGTCCTTTCGCATATAGAACTAGTGTACATGGCAGCCAAAGCTTGTCAGATTGTGTTAGGTATGGCTATGGCAGCAGCCAAAGCTTGTCAGATTGCTGCCTTCGCCACGGGGGGCAACAAGGTGCATTTGATGTGCTTACTGGAAGGTTCATGGTTGAGATTAAAGATCTCGGTTTTCTTATCCATTTGTATTTGATTGATAGATGTAAATGTATTTTTTTAAACTGGGCTCAGTCCCTTTCCATTATAAAACATGATGAAAATAAAACAAGGGGAGAGCGAGTTCAACACACTAATAAAAAAACCACCGCATGTGATTGCAACTGAAACACACGTTGTGGGATGAAAACCCGAGAGCACCACAACCTAACAATAATAAGTTTCAACATAGCATAACTAGAACTACTCAGCACACAGTCTGTTATCCTTGAAGTTACCAAGCTCCAATGAATTGAGGCTTTGTGATGCGGCGGGGCTTATGGAGGCTTGTGGCGGAACGTCATGAGAGACTGGGGGATGCTTAAGTTGTAGACTTATACATCTCAAAATAATGTGTGGTGACCTCTGAACTCTTGGTCACATGTTGCGGTGTACCACTAAAAAAACAAAACAGAGTCCTTATCCCCTCACGAGCATAGCGGAAAATGAAGGCAGCGACTGGGATTTGCATCATCCATTTTTTGCAACGAAAATGAAGCACATAATCTCAGTCTTACGGGCAAGCACTCGGAAGCCAGCAACACGCTGCCTCAGCCACAAAACACACATACATAACAAAACTAAAATTATTGGCAACTGCAAACAAAGCCGCATGGCTCAATTTAAACAAGTTCAAGGAGCTACAAATTCATTTCATTGCTGATAACTAGCATCTAAGCATGCTGAAAAGACGATGAGCTTTTTCCCAACATTTTGATGGACTTTAGAACACGCCTTCCCACTTCATCTCGGATCTGGCCACATCACAAGTGCGGGGGCTTCGCGCTAGCTGCTCCACTTCCTGTGATCATCTTTCCAGAAGTTCCTTGTCCTGTGATCATCTTTCCAGAAGTTCCTTGACACAACCACAAGGCGATAGATTCCATGCAGTTTTGCGCCACATAGCCTGCATACCGGACCAAACAACGGAAGAAAACCCATGTCATTACAAGTTTTCCAGATAGCCCACAGGCCAGCTCCATGAATAACATTGATAGCAGCAAAGCCAACTCCTCTAGACCAACAAGAAGAGAAGGACATCATACTAATGTCTCCTCAAATCCAGTCAGCCTAGCAATAGCTCTCTAGAATTCAGCAATAACAACACAACCAAAGAACAAATGATAGCAAGATTCCATTTCAGAGCTGAACACTGGGTCGAATCAGGGACTGATTGCCTCTTACTTAGGTTATCCCTGGTACGCAGTTTATTATTAGCTAGAAGCCAGGGGAAGATTTGAATCCTAGGAGGGGTTTTAATAG